ACATTTCTCAGATTTGTGATTACATAGTTAAAAACTGAAGACACTGATAAAAAACTGTAGCGAAAGCAGCCTGCGTGAAGGCCTAGTACCCTAAGTAAGCAGCCACATTTGGCAAATTGTTTGGAAATATTCAAATGGCTTATTTCATAGTCCTATATGCTGGAGGTTCTTACCTTATCCTACGAGGAGCAATCGTGATTCGTTCCATACTCTAAATCTAATTTGGCCAGCACTACGAAATAAACGAATGAATGAATGAGTATTAAATGGAGGTTTGTGAAAAACGACAAAGCAAAAGAGTTATTAACGGTCAAGGAGTGCGCACATTGTTTTTGATCACTGTTTATAGTAGATACGCCTTTTGAAGGTAGCACAATTCTTATTCAGCGAAATGCAATGGATCGATATTAGATAGAAGCGAAATGTTATTTGTGATGGCTATCATTATGGAGTGGGCCTATCAAAGTCGTGCAGTTCCAAAAGACTTAATAAAGGTTACTTCAAATGCGCTTGTGTGATTATTATCATCTCGATGCAATTACCAGATATGCAAAATCACTACTTTAGAAACACACTGCGTGGGGTCGCTCATATGCATTAATGAGTCTTTTTGCAAAAAACAAAAAGAACATGTGAGTAACACATCTGGATGGGGAGATTTCATATGAACGATGCGTAATTTTCAGAAAATCTATACATCCTGACCACTTACCGAACCTTGGCTCAGTGACTGAAGAAGACTTCTCATCCATTTTTGAAACAGTGCCTCGATTTTCACCAAGAGAGCCTTGTGCTATGAAAGATAAATATCGCAGAGCAGTTGGAAAAGAACGTGACCGTCCACGAAAGGTCATTCCTGCAAGAATTAATGAAGTAGCGCTTCCAAACACATGTTTCAGACCGACTTCTCAACCGATAGCCAAGATCTCACGAAACCTCAGAGCGCAGGTGTCACCGAAAAAACGGCTGTTGATATAAAAGGTTCGGCACTGCAAGGATGGACGAAGTCGACGATTAGCGCTAAAGCTTGATGTCTTCTAAATTGAGACGCAATTTTCCCGAAACTTTCGTATCCAAAATTACTTGCATTCAACCTTTAATA